GGCTAAGGAGGAAAGAGCGGCCGCCGCGCGGGGGGTTATGGGAAGGAGGCGCCGCCTCCCGGAAGCCCCGCCCGGCGCCGCTCCCGCCCGCCTCTATGATCCCGGAGGACTCCCCCAATGGAGAGCAACGAGGGGGCGACCATAGAGACGCGGCGGAGGGGGGGAAGAGCGGACGCACCGGTGGGGGGGGGCGGTTATTAAACCGCCGCTTCCGCCCAAACGGCGGCGCTAGGAGGGCGCGGAAAMGGGGGCACTTTGGGCAAGCACCGCCCGCTGCCCGCAACAAAGATGGCGGCGCCGCGCGGGTCACGTGGCGCGCGGGARGAACACGTGACACAGGCGGCCGCTTGGCTGCTTTATTCTGTACAAGCCCCGCCCCCCACGGGCGACAATGGGGGGGTGACAATGGGGGGAGGGGCCCGGGTGACAATGGGGGGGGGCCGACCCCCTCCCGGGTTCCCGATCCGTKCCAGTTCCGCCCTCCCCCCATCCGGATCCCGGATTCCCATCAGTGCCGGCTCCGGCTCCACATTCCCAGCGGGATCCTGTTCTGGGACACGGATCCGCAGGTCCCGGTTCCGGGCGGGATCCGGATCCAAGGGGGTCCGGATCCCAGCTCTGTTCAGCCCCTGGATCCTGGTTCCCAATCCTGCTTCCRGATCCCAGTTCCAGATCCTGATTATGGATCCCAGTTCCCAATCCTGGTTCTGGATCCTGATTCCGGATCCCGGTTTCGGCTCCTGCTTCCCTGGAGGTTCTGGGTCCAGAGGGCTCTGGATCTGGGTTCAAAGGAGCTTCCGGATCCCAAATCCCGGTTCCAGATCCCATCTCCCAGCGGCTCCTGGACCCAGGTGGGATCTGGATCCCGGTTCCAYATCGGGGATCCCACTTCCAGCTCCTGGATCCCGGTTCTGCATCCAGGACCCCAGTTCAAGCTCCTAGGTCTGGGTCTGCATCCTGGTTCCAGTTCCCGGTTCCTGGTTCAACCTCTTGCATCCCAGATCCCGGATCCTGTTTTTGTCTCCAGGTTCTGGTCCCAGCTCCGGTTCCAGTTCCCGGTTCTGATCCCACCACCCGGATCCGGTTCTAGCTCCGCCTCCTGGACGCGGTTGTGGTACCGTCTCCCATTCCCAGTCCCGGCTCCATCTCCTGCTCTGGTCCTGGAGCTCGGAGCGCTCCTGGAGGCAGCTCCGACCCCATTCTCATTCCCCATCCCACTCCCATTCCCCATCCCACTCTCATTCCCATTCCCATCTCATTCCCAATCCCATTTCCATTCCCACTCGGAGCAGCCCATGGTGCCACTTGCAGCGCTCCAGGAGGTGACTCCGTGTCCCATTCCCGATCCCAATTCCCGCTCCCATTCCCATTCCCGATCCAGTTCTCATTCCCAATCCCTTCCCGCTCCCATCCCAATTCCCATTCCCAATGCCAATTCCCATTCTCGATCCCACTTCCCATTCCCGCTCAGAGCAGCCCGTGGCACCCGGGTCCCCCCTGCTGGGTTCCGCCCGGTTCCGGTTCCGGTCCCGGTTCCGGTCCCGGTCCCGACCTCCTCCCGCCGCTGCTCCCGGTCCCGACAGGAGCGGCTCTCGCCCCGCCCCCCGCCTCTCCCAGGGGCGTGGCCACCCGTCCCGCCGCGGGCCAATCGGCGGCGGCCGCCACCGCCCACCCCGCCCCCTGCCTACGTCGCAAACCACGCCCCTCCCCCATCGGGGGCGTGACCTGGGGGCGCCCGCCCCGCCCCTCGCTGCTCCCACCAATGGGAGCGCACGAGGGGCGTGGCCTCGCCACGTTGCGCATGTTGGGGGGGTGACCCAGGGCAGGGGGGTGGGGCCTGACCCAGCTTCAGCCAATGGCGGCGCGGCGAGAGGGGGGGGGGGGAGCAGAGCACGTGAGGAGGCACGTGCTTGAGTGGGGGGCGGGCCCTTAAAGAGGCCGCGACACCGTCTGGGGGTGACGCATGGACTCTATAGGCTCTGTGGGGACCCATAGGTGCCATGGGGACCCCATAGGTGCCACAAGATCCCTGTAAGGGTCGTAGGGTCCCTATAGCTTTCATAGGGGCCCTATAGGTGACGGGGGGGTCCTATAGGTTCAATGGGAATCTAATGGGCGCTYCAAGGTCCCATAGTGGTCATGGGGATCCCATAGGTGCCATAGAGACCTATAGATGCTATAGGGACACCATAGGTAGCACTGAGACCCTCAAGAGGACCCTAGAGAAGCCATGGGGACCCTAGAGGTGCCATAGGGTCCCTATAGGGGTCATGGGGTCCCTATAGGTGCCTTGATGTCCCATTGGCGCCATAGGGTCCATATACATTCTATGGGATCTATAGGAGCCCCGGGGCCCCATCCCGACGTCACCATCACCCAGGCCCCGCCCTCCTTTCCATCCAGCGCTCTGATTGGCCAACAGTGCCATTTGCCCCCCCACCCGGCGGCAGCCATGTTTGGTGCGGGCGCCATCTTGGTTGTGGACCCCACCCCGGGCGCCATCTTGAGTGAGGGCACCGCACCCCTCCCCCCCGCCCCGGGCGCCATCTTGCCCCTATCGCGGCGGCCATCTTGG